CCCAAAATCGATCTCGACATATCCTCAGTTAACCCTTGTTACAGCTGTTTTTGCCACTTGACATTAGAATGACCCTGTCTCAAAAAAAAAAAAAAAAAAAAAAAAAAAAAAAAACTACCATACAACTGAGCAGTTGCTGGGCATTTATCGCAGAAAGAGAAAACCTGTGCTCACATAAAAATGTGTATATAGATGCTTATAGCAGCTTTACTCATAATAGAGCAAAACTGGAAACAATTCAGATGTCTGTCATCAGGTGAATGGTTCAGCCATGGCAGTCACACTGTTTCCATTCTCCCTGGTGACTCTGTCCCACTTCCCTCTCTCTACTCAGCCTCCAACACCTGGGAGCCTCCCTCAGTCTCATTCTCAGGTCAGGTGATAACCTTGCTTTCTAACTCAAGGAGAAAAAAAAAAAAATCAAAGCAATTTGGAGTCCGTCCAAGGCTCGGACTGCCGAATCTAGCCACCTACCAGCACCTGTTCCTGTAGCGAGATAATGCCTTCTTTCATGCTGCTACAAACCTTCGTACTCCTACCCAAAGTGAATCCCTCTGATTGTTGAATTGGATTCCATGGAGTCCAATTCAGTAATAAAAAGAAACAAACTATTGATACACATAGCAATCTCCAGAGAATTATGCCAAGTGAACAAAGCCAATCTCAAAATGTTATGTACTCTATGGTGCCATTTATTGAGCATTCTTGAAATGACAACATGATAGAAATGGAGAACAGATTAGTGGTTGTCAGGGTCTAAGAAGGGCATGGGGGCAGGAAGGAAGTAGGCATGGCTATAAAAGGGCAATGTGGGCCAGGCACAGTGACTCACGCCTGTAATCCCAGCACTTTGGGAAGCCAAGGTGGGTGGATCACGAGGTCAAGAAATCGAGACCATCCTGGCCACCATGGTGAAACCCCAGTCTCTACTAAAAATTCAAAAATTAGCCAGGCATGGTGGTGCGCACCTGTAGTTCTAGGTACTCAGGAGGCTGAGGCAGGAGAATGGCTTGAACCCAGGAGTCAGAGATTGCACTGAGCCAAGATTGCACCACTGCACTGCACTCCAGCCTGGTGACAGAGTGAGACTCTATCTAAAAAAAAAAAAAAAAAAAAAGGGGGGGTCAACGTGAGGGATTCTTATAGCAACTAAAAAAAAATTTTGACATGACTGTATCCGTGTCCATATCCTGTTGTTACCCTTGCAAGATGTTACCCTTGGAAACTGGATACAGGCATCTCTCTGCATTTTCTCTTACATCTGCATGTGAATATACAATTATCTCAAAATAATGTTACTTTTTTTAAAAAAAGAAAAATGCCCTGATGTAAGTATACATATCACTTACACAGTATTCTTGCCAAAAAAAAAAAAAAAAACAGAGTAATGCAAATTAAAAACAAACTGAGATACCCTTTCCCATCTATCAGATTGGCATAAATCCACAAACTTAACAACATCTTCCGCTGGCAAGACCTTAGGAATATAGGTACTCTCATAAACTGCTAGTGAGAATGCAGTAAGATAGCTCTATGAGTTTATAAATAAAGGAGAATTCAGCAATATCTAGCAAAATTACATATACATCTACCCTTGAACCAGTGTCCACTGCTAGGAAACTATCCCAAAGGCAAACCAGCAAAAGTACAAAAAGATGCACGCCTAAGGCTATTCATTGTAGCTCTCTGTGATAGCAAAAAAGTAGGAATAATCCACATGCCCATTAAGAAGGAACTGGTTGTAAAAAGCAAATAACAACGATCTCCATATACTGCAGTGGGGTTATCTCTACGATGGATTTTTTTTTTTAGTGGAAAATAAAGGTGCAGAACATATATATTTGCCTATATACATACACGTACATATAAATATAACAGAAGGAGAAACAAAAACTAATGGAAATGGTTACCTATGGGAGAGAGAGAAAACAGGGCAGAAAGGATGAAGATGGAAATGAGACCTTTCGAAATGTACCTGGTTTTATAGTTCGGCATTGGAATTCTTTCAGTGTTTTCCATAATTATTGCTATGGTTTGAATGTGCCCCTTCCAAAACAGGTGTTGCCAATGTGATTGCATTAAGAGGTGGGGCTTTAAGAGGTGGGCTGGCCTACAGGGTTCCTCCCTCGTGAATCGAATTAGGTGTCCTTATAAAAGGAGCTGGCAGAAGGCGGGCTTCTCTTGCTATCCCACCTTGTGAGGATGCGGCCCTCATCCAACTCCGAGTGCCGGTGCCTTCATCTTGGACGTCCAGCATGCAGAACTGTGAGAATTAGATTTCTGTTCTTGATAAATTACCCTGTTTGTGATATTCTATTATAGCAGCACAAAACAGACTAAAGCAATTACAAAACAATTTACGTCAACTTTTTTTTTTTTTTTTTTGAGATGGAGTTTCGCTCTTGTTGCCCAGGCTGGAGTACAACGGCACAATCTTGGCTCACTGCGACCTCCACCTCCCGGGGTCAAGTGATTCTCCTGCCTCAGCCTCCCAAGTAGCTGGGGTTACAGGCACCCGGCTAATTTTTGTATCTTTAGTAGAGACGGGGGCGGTTTCACCATCCTGGCCAGGCTGGTCTAGAACTCCTGACCTCAGGTGATACACTCTCCTAGGCCTCCCAAAGTGCTGGGATTACAGGCGTGAGCCACCGCGCCTGGCCTGTCAACATTTTAAAAAGCAATCCCTAAAAGTAGGGAAAGAGAGGAGAGGAGAAGAATTGGAGCTAACAAGTTTGGACAGTTTTTAAGGTAATTTTGCTCAAAAGCAGGAAACAGCTGGGGCAATAGTTCATGAGGCCAATATAAGTTGTTGGGTTTTTTTTTAAGACAGAAAAAATAGCATGCAGGAATGATGTACTTAATCTGAGCTACCAAACAACTAGAGGGATTCACTTTGGGTAGGAGTAGGAAGATTTGTAGCAGCATGAGAGAAGGCATCGTCGCTCTACAGGTACAGGTGCTGGTAGGAGCTAGATTTGATGGTCAGAGTCATGGAAGGACTCTAAATTGCTCTGATACTCTCCTTGAGTTAGAAAGCAAGGTTATCACCTGGCCTGAGAATGAGACTGAGGGAGGCTCCCAGGTGTTGGAGGTTGAGTAGAGAGAGGGAAGTGGGAGTCACCTGGGAGAGTGGAAACAGTATGATTGCCAGGCAGTGTGAAGGCAGGCCGCCCGAGCTTCATGATCGTGAATTTAAGCAGAGCCATAGTCATCGTGGTTATATGATTTTTCTCTAACCGTGTCCAACAGCGTGTGTGAGAAACTCTTGCTTGCTCATGTATGCAAGGAGGCATGTTCAAGAATGTTATTGCCAGCCGGACGTGGTGGCTTATGCCTGTAATCCCAGCACTTCGGGAGGTCAAGGTGGGCAGATGACCTGAGGTCAGGAGTTCAAGACCAGCCTGGCCAACATGGTGAAACCTCGTTTCTACTAAAAATACAAAAATTAGCCAGACGTGGTGGCATGTGCTTGTAATCCCAGCTACTTGGGAGGCTGAGGCAGGAGAATCACTTGAACCCAGGAGGTGGAGATTGCAGTGAGCCAAGATCGCGCCATTGCACTCCAGCCTGGGCAACAGAGCAAAAACTCCATCTCAAAAAAAGAATGTTATCACCCACCTTCTGAACTCTTTTATCTCTGCCAATGAGAGTTAAAGAACACAAAGGAGAATATTACGCTTAGTACGGAATTTTCCATTTAAACTGGAGGTTGCAAACTTTTTTGGTGAAAAATCAGACCCTGGCGATGACCTTAAGCAGTAGATGTAAATAGCTCCACAAGCTTAGTGTTCCAACAATGGAACACTAGGCATAAATGGGTTAATGAACTTCTCAGTGTTGACCCAACTAGTGGACTTAATTTGAAATGTGGGACACCATAATGTGTTGTGAGCAGGCTCCAGAGCAAAAGGGCTACTGCAGAATTCTTAGTGTCCTTAAAAAACTGGATAGGAATTTTTAATTTGTGTTTTCCTAATTATCACATAAGTACGTGTAATGATGGTTTTATAGACTTGTAGCCATAACTATCACCTATAAATTGTGTATTGGCTTCCAAATAGATGGCGTTTTGGACAGAGATGCCCATTATGAAAGAAATGGAAATAATTCTCATTTGTACGAGAGACCCGAGAAGACAAAAAGAGGCGTTGCAATAGCAAGAGACAAAATGCCCTCAGGTAATGCATTCCTCCTCTAGTAACCTTAAAAATCCATGGAATCAGTTTCTGCTAAAGGAATGCACGAGACTGAATTAATGCTGAAATGTATTATAGCATGTGCCCAATATTCGTTGCATTCTATTCTGTCTGATCTTAATATGGCAATCTTTGCCTTCATTTTATATATGTGTTTTCTTGATACGCCCTTGGCCATCTTCTTTTCATATATTCCCAAATAAAAGACAAGGTTTTATTCCCAAAAAATTTTTCATCAACAAAGAGAAAGTCGTCTTAAAGTTCTTGCAAAGTCTTTCAAATCATGGTGTTAATACTTGTTTATTTAATCTTGAAAACCAAGTACTATTTGGGAAGGACGCATTAGCCTGAAATGATAGCAATCAATATCAGTGGATGGCTGGTTATAGAGATCAACGGAAAGAAAGAAGTAAAACAGATCAATTTAAAGTGGATCTCGTGATCATTCCTCGGGGTATGACCTCACAGTGCAAGTGTTAGACGTTCTGGTCAACAAACCCTTTAAATAACACTTAGCAATTTAGAAAGTTTTATTTAGAGACATGAATATATATTTGAAGAACAAATGTAAAATCCAACTTTGCTCAATCCTTTGTAAAAGGGGACTTGTGAGTTGTAGGAAAATGTTTAGTGATAGCATTAGGTGGAAGTAAAGATGATGTATTTTGGAAAACTGTTAGATCCAAAAGTTGTTCTGATGATAATTAATGCAATGATGTTAAAGACGCATTTGAAATGTTTAAGCTGTGTCATGAAATGTGAGTTTCGTGAGAGCAATGCTTCCAATATTACTTTACATAACATGTGGCTTAAATGTCATAGTAAAACTAAATTACTGAATTAAATAGACATTTGACTATTTCACCTACATCCTTTAAGTTTATATTGTCAAGCTTGCCCCAGAAATGCTTTTTAAAATCTCCTCATTGGGAAAAATGCAGACTGCCTTATTGTGGGGCAATTTACCTAACAAGCAATATGCCTAAATTTATGTACATAGAGTCTTTTATAAAGTTTGTGGGCTGGATCTCCCCTGAGCAGACGTTGGCTCACACCTGTAATCCCAGCACTTTGGAAGGCTGAGTTGGAAGGACTGCTTGAGGCCAGGAGTTCGAGTCCAACCTGGGCAACATACTGGGTCTCTGTCTCTACAAAAACTTTTAAAAATTAAAATTAAAAAAATTAGGTTTGCCGGTGCATGCCTGTAGTCTCAGCTACTCAGGAGGCTGAGGCAGGAGGATAGTTTAAACCCAGAGTTAGAGGCTGTTAAAGCCATAATCAAGTCACCGCACTCCAGGCAGCCTTTTTAAGTCTCTATCAGATTGTTTGTAAAAGTTTTTTATAATTCAAAAATTTTCTTAGTGTGTATCTAGGTTACTTGTCACTCATTGTGCCTAGAACATGACGCTACATATACACATCTTTCTTGAATCAAGAATATCCTACATATGTATCACTTCTATTTCATTTGTTCTGATTCTGTCCTTAAGAAATATCAGGTATCTGTGTGCCGTATTGCTACTTCCTGTCATCTGTATCTTTCCTGTACTCTCTTTAAATGAAAAGAATGGTTTCATGTTGATCACCCTTTCTGTTGTTAGAGGAGGGCACCTTACATTTATCTTCCATATCAGGGACTAATTTTTCCACATCTGCTCAGTATTCCCTCCCAGGTGGATTTTAATTTTTCTGCAGCATTTTTTTTTGTCATCTTGAAATCCTTTGATATGGTTATTTTTCTTTTAATGTACCTCATTCTGGCTCATGTTAGCTTCAAATGGTTTATCCTTACGATTTTGTTTGGTTCCCTCTACCTTTCTCCATCATCACGGTGGCTGTGGTTGACTCGGTTTCTTGCCATGTCTTCTCATAAGACTTTCAGAATCAAGTGATTCCTGGCCAAGAAATCAAAGCAAAATCATCTGATTCCCCAGTGGATGATAAAATCACATACAACTGATATAATCAGGTACAACTCCAGGAGGAGACACTGGAGAAGAGGCATGCTGGGTCTGTAAGGAATTGCACGTTAAGATGGCACATGTATTTATGCTGTCTCAATCAAGGTCATCTCTGTATCAATCACTGTCACCTCACCATTTCAAAAACCATTTTATTGGGAAAATGGTTTTTCTCTTTGTTTCTATGCTCTTCACTCGTAAGCTGATGCAGTAATAAATATGTGAGACCTTTTATTTGGGGAAATAACCTTTTTCGTTCCTATTAAGGATGTATTTACAGCTTTCTGAACCTTTTTTCTGGATTTTGCTGTTGATAATTTTCAGGGCTGTGCTTTTCTTGGAGTCCTCTGGATTCCATTCCCAGGTTCTTGAGTCATCATCATAGGTTCCCTTTTGTCTTTCCTTCCTTATCTTTATTTTTTTGGGGGGGGGAGGGCGGGGACGGTGTGGAATCTAGCTCTGTCACCCAGGGTAGAGTGCAGTGGCACGATCTTGGCTCACTGCAACCTCTGCCTCCCAGGTTCAAACAATTCTCCTGCCTCAGCCTCCCAAGTAGCTGGGATTATATGCACCTGCCACCATGCCAGCTAATTATTATGTTTTCAGTAGAGACGGGATTTTACCACATTGCCCAGGCTGGTCTCAAACTCCTGACCTCAAGTGATCTGCCTGCCTCATCCTCCCAAAGTGCTGGGATTACAGACATGAGTCACCATGCCCGGCCTTGGTTTTCTATGTAAAACAGTTTGCATTATTTTTTAGCCATGAATAAGAAGTCCTCAAGTAAAACAAATATTTCTGTCTTAGGCTTTTACTTGAACTTAGTCTGCTTTCTTTTTTCTATAGGACCTGGTGCTCTTTCAGCCACATGTCACCATCCTCTTCCTGCTCATCTCGTAAGTACTTCCCCTGACAACATACATTGTGAAATGTTGATCTCTTTGTCTTACCTGGTAGATCTGGTCAGAGCTCGATCTTCTAGAGTGTTCTGAATATAGTTTTCTAATAAGGAAAATAAAGTACTTACGTGCAGGAAAAAAATTGGGTTTAATAGGTGCTTCAAGGATTTATTTTTATTTTTTATTTTTTTTATTTTTTTTGAGACAGGGTCTCACTCTGTCACCCAGGCTGGAGTGCAGTGGTGTGATCTTGGCTCACTGCAACCTCTACCTCCTGGGTTCAAGTAATTTTCCTGCCTCAGCCTCCCAAGTAGTTGGGATTACAGGCCTGTGCCATCACACCTGGCTAATTTTTGCATTTTTAGTAGAGACGGGGTTTTGCTATGTTGGCCAGGCTGGTCTCAAAATCCTGACCTCAAGCAATCCACCTGCCTCAGTCTCCCAAAGTCCTGGGATTACAGGTGCGAGCCACCATCTCCAAACTCGTTACAGGAATTTCTAAAGCCTATCTTTCTGGCTTTCATGCTGATGTAATTATCATGTATTTGTTGGTTGGGTGTTTATTCCCTGCTTTGTTCCAAAAAGGACTTGTGGCATCTTACAAAAATACAACGCAATAAAATGTAAACATCAAACAGAAAGGGAAAGGAAAATAAAGGTAGAAACTGTCTACACATTCTATAAAGTTTCACCTTCAAGAAATCTCTCAGCATTCTTGCCCTTGTGTCCTATGTAGAAACCCTTCAGTTGATGCCTAAACACAGATACGCATTTGTTTGACTCAATGCTTACTGCAAAAATAAGTGTTTCTAACGGTATAAAAGAACAGCGGCCAGGCATGGCGGCTCACGCCCATAACCCCAGCACTTTGGAAGGCCGACGCAGGCAGATCACCTGAGGTCCGGAGTTCGAGACCAGCCTGGCCAACATGGTGAAATCTCGTCTCTACTAAAAATACAAAAATTAGCCAGGCGTGGTGGTGCATGCCTGTTATCCCAGCTACACAGGAGGCCGAGGCAGGAGAATCGCTTGAACCCGGGAGGTGGAGTTTGCAGTGGGCCAAGATTGTGCCATTGTACTCCAGGTTGGGTGACAGAGTGAGACTCCGTCTCAAAAAAAAAAAAAAAAAACTCGGGATGAAGTAAAAAAAATCCCTCACGTCAGTATTCCCCAAGCTGTGTTCTGCAGAGCAACAACCACTAGCCCTTGAAATTGAAAGGGTTAAAAATATGCCACTCTGGTATATTGATGATTTCAGTTAAAGGCATTTGAAAAACAGCAGGTGCAAAAACAGCACTTTGACCTTGGTACTGTTTCTTAAAAACAGGAGATAAAATTCCCGTGTAGAATATGCAACACTCTTATCCTCCAGGAGCAGAAGCAAGACCCGGAGAAATCTGCACAGACCTTGTTAAGATAACATTATCTTTTAAGCCTCCCCACATAATTTTGCTTCTTCACAACTAACTGCTCTTTGTCCAAATCAGCACAGGAGAGACGGACTCTAACTTCTACTTCAGGTCTTCATTTTCTTATGAGGACTCCTGTGCCACGTAAAACTTGGACTCAATGAATGGGTGTGCTTTTCTCCTATTTAACTTATATCAGTTTAATTCTCAGGCCCAGCTGGAGCCCTAAGAGAATGGAGGTGGAGTTTTCCACCCCTATAATATGTTACCAGAAGAGAAGAAAACAAAGGCTTTTGACTATAGGACTTTACAGTCTTTCACAGGTCCCAAATCTAACCCCTTCTCACTATTGTCACCATGATCACCACACGGTCCAAGTCACCATCTCCCATCTGAACTTTCACATTTGCCGGCTGGGTGCAGTGGCTTATGCCTGTAGTCCTCGCACTTTGAGAGGCCAAGGTGGGTAGACCACTTGAGGCCAGGATTTCAAGGCCAGCCAGGCCAACAGGGTGAAACCGCGTCTCTACTAAAAATACGAAAATTAGCAGGGTGTGATAGCGGGCGCCCATAATCTCAGTTACTTGGGAGGCCGAGGCAGAAGAATTGCTTGAACCTGGGAGGTAGAGGTTGCGGTGAGCCAAGATCACACCACTGAACTCCAGCCTGGGTGACAGAAGAAGACACCATCTCAAAAAAAAAAAGAAAAAATGAACGTTTACATTTTGCCTCCTACTGATGGGCTTCTACTCTTGCCCCTTTTTCTGACCCTTCTCAACGGAATGATTGATAATTTAAAACACAGAAGGATCCGTTAAAACAGAAGTGAAATCATGCCACTGTTCTGCAAAACCTTTTGTCTTCCTGCCTCATTAAAAGTAACATCTGCACCAGGCACGGTGGCTCATGCCTGTAATCCCAGCACTTTGGGAGGCCAAGGCAGGTGAATCATTTAAGCTAGGAGTTCGAGACCAGCCTGGGCAACATAGTGAAATCCTGTCTGTAAAAAAGTGAAAAAAGGCTGGGCGCAGTGGCTCATGCCTGTAATCCCAGCACTTTGGGAGGCTGAGGCAGCAGATCTTTAAAGGTTAGGAGTTTGAGACCAGCCTGGGCAACATGGTGAAACCCTGTCTCTACTAAAAATACAAAAATTATCCAGGTGTGGTGGTGTATTCCTGTAGTCCCAGTCACTCAGGAGGCTGAGCCAGGAGAATTGCTTGAACCAGCGGGGAGGAGGCTGCAGTGAGCCGAGATGGCACCACTGCACTCCAGCCTGGGTAACAGAGTGAGACTCCATCTCACAAAAAGGTAGCCAGGCATGGTGGTGTGTGCCTGTAGTCCCAGCTACTTGGGAGGCTGAGGCAGGAGGATCACTTGAATCCAGGAAGTCAAGGCTGCAGGGAGCCATGATTGTGCCACTGCACTCCAGCCCAGAAAACAGAGTGACACCCAGTCTCAAGAAATTCTCTCCTTACCATTGAACATCCTCCATGATATCCACTTTCTCTCTGCTTAGCCTTATTTTCTTCTTCAGAGCACTTATTTAATACATGACATAATATATCTTCCTGCCTCCACTGCTAACACAGGCTCAACAAGGGCAGGAACTTGTTTCCTTTTGCTCATTGCCATATTCAGTTCTCCAGAACATCCTCAGCGGCTTGTAGATGTGTAACAATTTGTTGAATGATTGACAATAAATACTCTAACATAAATCATGAATCTTAATGTGCAGCTTTCTCAAAATTTCAAAATTCAAAATTTCAAAATTCTGAGCACAGAATTTTTTTTTTTTTTGAGACGGAGTCGCGCTCTGCCGCCCAGGCTGGAGTGCAATGGTGGGATCTCAGCTCACTGCAAGCTCCGCCTCCGCCTCCTGGGTTTACGCCATTCTCCTGCCTCAGCCTCCCGAGTAGCTGGGACTACAGGTGCCCGCCACCTCGCCCGGCTAGTTTTCTGTATTTTTTAGTAGAGACGGGGTTTCACCGGGTTAGCCAGGATGGTCTTGATCTCCTGACCTCGTGATCCGCCCGTCTCGGCCTCCCAAAGTGCTGGGATTACAGGCTTGAGCCACCGTACCCGGCCAGAATTTTTGAACAGAAATGCTTATTAGTATCTCATAGGACAGAGTTTCAGAGCATTTGGGGAAATGCTGCCTTAATTATTAAATGGTAAAATCAGATTCAGCCTTTTCCTTTACTTATTTTTATCTTTTAGTCCAAGACCCTGTGTCATCCCATCAGCCCGTTTCCTTCAGTACTACAAAATATCACATCACAGGTAACAGCCACATCTGAAGCCAGCAGCCAGCCTCTCCCTGTGATAACACAGCTCACCATGCCTGTGTCTGTCACACGTGCTGGGCAATCTCTGGCAGAAACAACTTCAAGCCCAAAGGAAGCAGCTCATGTGAATACCGTCACCTCTCATCTACAAGTGTCATTGCAGAATGCATCTGGTCAGGTAAACGTGGGAAATTCAAGTCACAACTAGGTAGCTTTGTGACCCCAAAAAAGTACTTTGTGTACCATTTGCCTCCCTGCAGAACTGCACCTAAGAATGTCTGACAGATCAGCATATATGCCAATCCAAAGAAAAACTAAACAAGTCCGTGGAAATGGCCAATTTGACGGCATATACACAGCCCAGCGTTTCCCTAATGATGCTATTTAATGCTCTTATAGTTAATGCTTCAGATGGGGAAGAGGTTTTGTTCACCTACCCTGCTTTTTCAGCAGCAGCAAACTTCTAGACAATTCCTCCTACTCACTGTCCTCTCTTTTTGCCTTGTTTCCTTCCTCCCAAAAACATAGACAACAATGCAGCCAGACTCAGTGAGTTGCGCCTGTAATCCCAGGGTTTGGGAGGCCAAGGTGAGAGGATCACTTGAGCCCGGGAGTTTGAGACCAGCCTGGGTAACATAGTGAGACCTTGTCTCTACTAAAGTTCAAAAAAATTAGCTGGGCACAGTGACTCACGCCTGTAATCCCAGCACTTTGGGAGGCCGAAGTGGAGGATCACATAAGCCCAGGGGTTTGAGACCAGCTTAGGCAGCGTTATGAGACCTTGTCTCTATTAAAATTCAAAAAAATTAGCCAGGTGTGGTGGTGTGTACCTGTAGTCCCAGCTACTTGGGGGGGCTGAGGTGGGAGGGTCGCTTGAGCCTGGGACGTCCAGACTGCCGTGAACCGTGATTGTGCCACTGTACTGTAGGCTGAGCAACAAAGCAAAACTCACCCAAAAAAAGGCAAAACCCCTTTGACAGTATTGACTGAAGAAAATAATCCTGCTTCCCCCACGCTTTTTTTTCCCCTAAATTCAAGCGAGCCCTGTTTATATGCAGTTGAACATTTCCCTGCTGAAACATAGTCCTGTTCACTCTGGATGGTAATGGAAATTCGGTGTTCTACTGGGGGAGAAACTGACCTACAGGAGTTTAAGCAAAGAGTTGTTTTTGGCTGGGCGCGGTGGCTCAAGCCTGTAATCCCAGCACTTTGGGAGGCCGAGACGGGCGGATCACGAGGTCAGGAGATCAAGACCATCCTGGCTAACACGGTGAAACCCCATCTCTACTAAAAAAAAAAAAAAATTAGCCGGGCGAGGTGGCGGGCGCCTGTAGTCCCAGTTACTCGGGAGGCTGAGGCAGGAGAATGGCGTGAACCCGGGGGGGCAGAGCTTGCAGTGAGCCGAGATCGTGCCACTGCACTCCAGCCTGGGGCACAGAGCAAGACTCCGTCTCAAAAAAAAAAAAAAAAAGAGTTGTTTTTTTGTTTTTTTTTTTCTTAAATAGAAATCCTGAAGTATAGAATATCCAAAAGAATCTATAATAAATTATTAGAAATATTAAGAGAATTTAGCAATGTTCAGCATTTAATCGCGATTTCTTGAATGTGTGATTGAATTAGGCTGTGAGTGAGCTGTTCTCCAGAAATGGACCACGGGGTTGGCATTAACGGTGATCGCCTGAGGGTTGGACTTCAAGGACAAGTGCAGTGGCCGCTTGCTCAGTTTGTTTCTTGGGAGAGGGAGGTTTTCTGCTTCTCACCTCCTGTTATGAGTCATTTTAAGTCATTATCTCTTGAATATCAATTCTTGTTTGTTTTTTGAGACAGATTCCCGCTCTGTCACCCAGGCTGGAGTGCAGTGGCGCAATCTCGGCTCACTGCAACCTCCACCTCCTGGGTTCAAGAGATTCTCCTGCCTCTGCCTCCCAAGTAGCTGGGACTACAGGCGTCTATCACCACGCCTGGTTAATTTTTGTATTTTTAGTAGAGACAGGGTTTTGCTATGTAGGCCGGGCTGCTCTTGAACTCCTGACCTCAAATGATCTGCCTGCCTTGGCCTCCCAAAGTGCAGGGATTACAGGCATGAGCCACCACACCCAGCCTTAAATATGAACATTTGAATGGAGGTAAACACGCACAGAGGGAAACCTGACAGGAAAACATACTTCTGAATAGGAAAGTTTGGTTTTGGCTTTTTGATTTCCAAGTTTCCCTCATCTTTGCTCATGGCCTTAAGACTTAAAATTACTGCTATAAATCTTATTTCCAGACTCATTTGCCCTTGGAGCAATCATTGTCTAACCTCGTTATTCATTTTCTCGATCGTATGGAAGTAGAAATAAATTCTGTCCAGTCACAGAAAAGCTTCTGAAAGTAATCACTGTTTCAGAGAGCTGTGATTCATAGAGTTTATAATGTTATCCAAGGTCAACTTTGATTAAAACAATCTCCCCGACTACTACAGTACAGTAATCTTGTAGAAGTAATTTTGACAACTTCTTTGTTCCCGATAGGTCATAGATGAGATAGCAGGGAACTTCAGCAGAGCAGTTCATGGTTTGCAAGCTCATAACAAACTACAGGAAGCTTGTGAGTTCCTCCAGAAACTAACAGCCTTAACCCCAAGATTTTTTAAGCCAGCTCAGGTAAGCGGAGGGTGACTGGGAGGGAAGAAGGTAGGAGAGAGGGAAACATGGAAAACAGAAAAAGAATCTGAGGCTGGGTGCGGTGGCTCATGCCTGTAATCCCAGCACTGTGGAAGGTCGAGGCGGGCGGATCACATGAGACCAGGAGTTCGAGACCTGACTGGGCAACATGGCAAAACCTGTCTCTACTGAAAAAAACAAAAATTAGCTGGGCTTGGTGGTGGGTGCCTGTAATCTCAGCTACTTGGGAGGCTGAGGCACAATAATTGCTTGGACCCAGGAGACAGAGGCAGTGAGCCAAGATCACGCCACTGCGCTCCAGCCTGGATGACTGAGAGACTGTGTCTCCAGAAAAAGAAAAGAAAAAGAGAATCTGGAGATTGTGCCTTATGCCAAGCTTAGCATTATAAAGACTATATTTAAATTTTAGCAAGCATATTTGTACCTTTAAATCTGGAAAGTTATGAATTAAATTGATCAGTAGTGACATTGTTGGATATACTGTGTTTATGTTCGTTTGTTCATTAATCAGCTTACTGCCTTGCTGATGTATTTGTTAGAAGTCTGGGCATTCAGTGGGACACGGTGGCTCCAACCTGTAATCCCAGCACCTTGGGAGGCTGAAGCAGGCGGATAGCTTGAGCCCAAGAGTTCAAAACCAGCCTGGGCAACATGGTGAAACCCCGTCTCTACCAAAAATACAAAACTTAACCGGGTGTGGTGGTGCGCACCTGTAGTTGCAGCTACTTGGGAGGTGAGATGGGATGATGGTTTGAGCCCAGAAGGTGGAGATTGCAGCGAGCCAAGACTCTACCACTGCACTCCAGCCTGGGTGACAGAGCCACACTCTGTCTCAAGTTAAAAAGACAAAAAACTCAGCATTGGTCTTTTCTTCATTCCTTTTTTTAGTCTGGTAGTGTTAATTGGATATTTGGTCTACTTACCACTCAAAAACAATTATCAGTTCGTCAAAATAACATGAAATATGAATCCTCCCTTATAGGTTATATGAAATAATATATTCTCCTTCCCTGTCAAATTGTAACTTTTTTAATAAAATGCATTTGAAATGTATAAAGAATATTAAGCTGCTAATAAGAAGTATGCAAATTTTAAGCAATCATGTGCTAGGTGTGTGGCTCATGCCTGTAATCCAAACACGTTGGGAGGCCAAGACAGGAGGGTGTCTTGGGGCCAGGTGTTTGAGACCAGCCTGAGCAACATAGTGAGCCCCCTCCTCTACAAAAAAAATTTTAAAAATTAGGCGTGGTGGTGCACACCTCTGTCCTAGCTACTGGGGAGGCTGAGGAAGGAGGATCGCTTGAGCCCAGGAGTTCAAGGCTGCAGGGAGCCATGATTGTACCACTGCACTCCAGCCTGGGCAACAGAGCAAGACTGCATCTCTTACAATTTTAAAAAGCAATCATAGGCTGAGCATGGTGGCCCACACCTGTAATCGCAGCACTTTGGGAGGCCAAGATGGGAAGATCACCTGAGGTCAGGAGTTCGAGAGACCAGCTTGACCAACATGGAGAAACCCTGTCTCTGCTAAAAATACAAAATTAGCCAGGCATGGTGGCTCATGCCTGTAGTCCCAGCTGCTCAGGAGGCTGAGGCAGAAGAATTGCTTGAACCCGGGAGGTGGAGGTTGCAGTGAGCCGATTGCATTCCAGCCTGGGCAACAGGAGTGAAACTCTGTCTTCAAAAATAAAAAGAAAAAAGAAAAAATCATAAACAAGGATGTATGTTTGCTTTCTAATACTCCCAGGTTAATCTCATCAATTCCCTTATTTACCTGAGTGAGGAGTTACTCAGGATCCCATTTCTGAACAGCAGCAGTCTGGACTTCAAAGTTCCTGCAACTGTCTGCCCCTTTAATTCCTTCAACGATGTCACCAAAGCTGGAGAAGGAAGTTGGCTGGAATCCAAGCGTGATACTGAGCAGGTAGGTGCCAGATCTGCAGGTGGCCAGATCTGCTTAGAAGCATTTTAATCTTGACAGGTCCAGGTATCACAGCCTCTCCCCAGACCTTTAAAGAGAATCTTGCTGAAGTATGTGCTGCAGAAAAACCACTCTGCCAAGCCTTCTCTGTGGTCTCCCTCCCCACCTACCAGTGAGCCAATACTCCCTAGTGCTGTTATCAAGTGAAAAGGACTTAGGGGCTGGACCCGGTGGCTAATGCCTGTAATCCCAACACTTTGGGAGGCCAAGACAGGCAGATCACCTAAGGTCGGGAGTTCGAGACCAGCCTGGCCAACATGGCGAAACTGCATCTCTACTAAAAATACAAAAATTAGCCAGGCGTGGTGGCACATGCCTGTAATCCTAGCTATTCAGGAGGCTGAGGCAGGAGAATCACTTGAACCCAGGAGGCAGAGATTGCAGTGAACCGAGATTGTGCCACTATACTCCAGCCTGGGCAACAGAGTGAGACTCCATCAAAAAAAAAAAAAAGGAATTTAGGAAAGTGTTGGCATAAGGCAAATACTCATAGGTTATATTTGCTATTCACATGAAAAGATGCTTAACTTCATTGGTCATTAGGGAAATGCAAGTCAAAACCAAAATGAGATGCTGCTTCACACCCAAAAAGACAGAAAATAACAAGTATTGGCAAGGATGCAGAGAACTTGCAACCCTATCCATTGTTCAATTGTAAAATGATGCAGCCGCTTTGGAAAACCATTTGGCAGTTGCTTAAAATGTAAAAAATAGAATTACCATGTAACCTAGCAATTCTACTCCTAGCATCTACCCAAGAGAGTTGAAAACATATGTCCATACAAACACTCGTACACTCATCTTTGTAGCAGCATGGTTTAGTAGCTAAATAGCCAAAAAGTGGAGATAACCCACACATCTACGATCTGACAGATGGCTAAGTAGAATCTGGTCTGTTCATACAATGGAATATTATTCAGCAACATAAAGGGATGAAGTCCTGGTATGTGCTCCAACATGAGCTTTGAAAACATTATGCCAGGTGAAAGAAGCTGTCACAAAAGACTGTATGTTGTGATTCATTTATATGAAGTGTCCTGAAGAGGTAAATCTATAGACACAGAAAGTAGACTCGTGATTGCCTAGAGCTAGAGGGACTAGGGATGGGGAAATGGGGAGTGACTGTTAATGGGTACCAGGTTTATTTTATTTTGAGAGTCTCGCTCTGTTGCCTAGGCTGGAGTGCTGTGGCGTGATCTGGGCTCACTGCAACCTCTGCCTCCCAGGTTCAAGCTATTCTCCCACCTCAGCCTCCCGAGTAGCTGAGACTACAGGCGCACACCACGATGCCTGTCTAATTTTTTGTACTTTTAGTAGAGACAAGGTTTCACAATGTCGGCCAGGTAGGTCTCAAACTTTTGACCTCAAGTGATCCACCTGCCTTAGCCTCCCAAAGTGCTGGGATTACAGGTGTGAGCCACCGCACCCAGCCACCAGGGAGGTGGATCACCTGAGGTCAGGAGTATTTATTTTAGGGAGGATGAATCCTCCCTAAATTAGATTGTGGTGATGGTTGCACAACGCTGTGAATATACTAAAAAACATTAAATTATATACTCTGAGTGGATGAAGTGTATGTGTGAAAGTTATCTCAATAAAGCTGTCATTTAAAAACTCTAGCATGAGCAGATCTGGGGCAATTATATGATGGGGCAAAGGCATATTTCCTTGGCAGGCCCTCTTAGTTTGGTTCAAAGGACGGTAAGTCTTTAGCTAGGCTGCAAGTACTTTCTGTGAGAGTCCGAGGCCCTCTCTAAGGAATACCACCCTTCATTACGTCACTGTGAAAATTCCCTTTCCAGTCTTCTCCAAAACAGTTTACTACGATAAGACACTGAGGTTTTACAGGTCACACGCTGTCTTCCTCTCCATGCAGGTAGAAGACATCCTGGAAATGTCCTTGGCGGAGCTTGGGAATATCGGGGAAGCATTTCTAGAGCAGGACCAGTTCCCCGAGTCTTCAGTGACTTTGACCTCCTCTGTTGCTACTCTGCTGCTGAGCAGGTTAATGAGAGGAAGGAACAGGGAGAGTTTCACGGTGTTTTTCACTTTCAGAGGACATAAAAAATTGACTTCCGTTTTAACTTTTCTCGTTAGACAAAACACATCCACCTTACCACTGAGCTCTTACACTCTGGGTCACCCAGCCCCTGTGAGACTGGGCTTTCCGTCGGCTTTGGCTTTGAAGGAGCTCTTGAATCAACACCCAGGAGTTAATGTCCAAGTGAGTGTGAAATTGATCGTGGTCAGAATGCAAGTGGGATCTGATGGCCATGGAGGCATTTGGGTGAAAGTAATGTACCATGAAATGTAAGTTGAACAGACCAGATCAGATGAGAGAGTTGATGTGGCGTTCGTTTTTATTTTACACTGGCAGGGATAGAGGCCTCTTAAAAGTGATCCACTGTAGAAGTTGGGAGCATTAAGCAGATTTCTGGATTTAACTAAATTTCTGTTCTGTGATTTGGATTGATCTCAACTCTGCAGTTTGTTTTTTTTTGTTGCTGTGTTGTTGTTGTTGTTTTCGAGATGGAGTCTCAATCTGTCACCCAGGCTGGAGTGCAGTAGCGTGATCTCGGCTCACTGTAACCTCTACCTCCTGGGTTCAAGCAATTCCCCTCCCTCAGCCTCCCAAGTAGCTGGGATTATAGGCGCCCGCCACCATGCCTGGCTAATTTTTGTATAGAGACGGGGTTTCGCCACATTGGCCAGACTGATCTCGAACTATGGACCTCAGGTGATTCGCCTGCCTAAGCCTCCCATAGTGCTGGGATTACAGGTGTGAGCCACCATGCCCGGCCTCTGCACTATTTCCAAAAGCTGGGACTATCAAAATAATTGTTGACTCAGTATACCAACCCAGTTATATCAGTATATTGTATTTCTTTCAGCAGTTACCTGACAAATAAAAGTAGCATTGTTGCCTTATCCTGAAGAGCAGAAGAGTTACTTCCTAGTAAAATAGAATCCTCTAGATATAAAGATTAAAAATAATTCTGAGGGTCCCAAGTATAATTCATCTTTAATTTACTATTTCTCATAGAGGCTATAATGGGGAATGTTATTTCATTTGTGGTATTAGTAGGGGGCACATCCCAACGTTTACTTTAATATATGATATCCAGCTGGGCATGGTGGCTCAAGCCTGTAATCTCAACACTTTGGGAGGCCAACGCGAGTGGATCACCTGAGGTCAGGAGTTCGAGGCCAGCCTGGCCAACATAGCGAAACCCTGTCTCTTCTAAAAATACAAAAATTAGCCAGGCGTGGCGGTATGCACCTGTAATCCCAGCTACTTGGGAGGCTGAGGCAGGAGAATTGCTTGAACCTGGGAGATGGAGGTTACAGTGAGCCAAGGTCATGCCACTGCACTCCACCGTGGTTGACGGAGCATGAGTTTCTCAAAAAAAAAAAAATAATAATATATATATATATATGTGTGTGTATGCACACACACGTATATACATACTATATATATGATATATCTTTCTATTGGAGTCATTTAAAAATATTTCGGCAATGGGTAAAACTGGACTTTTCCTTGTCTCTAGGTAACAGGACTAGCTTTCAATCCCTTCAAGGATTTGGACCACAGAAACGTTGTTGGAAGCATTGGAAGTGTGTTACTAAGCGCTAATCGCAAATTGCTCCAAGTCCATGATTTAGTGGAGGACATTGAGGTAGGAACTGATTCTTAGGGAATAAAATAGAAGAGAATGGGATATTCTGGAACAGGATCGAAGGATGCAACAACTTAAAGGGAATCATGTTAGACCGATGACTGTGCCATTGTTTTGTTATTAACATATTAGGAACTTTTACAAAGAGGTACACCTTACCCTTAGAAAAAGTGTTTTAGAGGGCCGGGTGCATTGACTTACACCTGTAATCCCAGCACTTTGGGAGGCAGGCAGATCACTTGAGGTCAGGAGTTCGAGACCAGCCTGGTCAACATGATGAAACACCGTCTCTACTAAAAATACAAAAATTAACCCAGTATGGTGGTGGGCGCAGTTATCCCAGCTAATCTGGAGCCTGAGGCATAATAGCTTGAATCCAGGAGGTGAAGTTTGCAGTGAGCTGAGATTGTGCCACTGCACTCCAGCCTGGGCGATAGAGTAAGACTTAGTCTCAAAAATAATAAGAATAAGAAGTGTTTTAGGTCTTGGACTATGTACTTACCCTTAACCCCAGCAGTATTAGCTACTAACATCCAATGGAGAAGACCTGGCTGGGCACAGTGGCTCATGCCTATAATCCTAGCATTTTGGGAGACTGAAGCGGGAGGATTGCTTAAGACCAGGAGTTCAAGACCAACCTGGCCAACATAGCAAGACCCTATCTCAGAAAAAAGGAGGAAGACCTAGGAAGTTTCCTTACCTTATCAATATAAAGTATTTTGAAAGGCATCAATGGATGGACCATTATAATGATTAACTGTCTCTTATTCTAGATCATGCTCTGGAGAAACGTTAGCATGGAAACCCATCCCACCAGCTTCAACATGAGCACAGATCAGCTTACAATCACAGTGAACATCACCTCCTTGGAGAAATCCCTGATAGTGAGCATAGATCCTGACAGTCCCCTTTTAATGACGCTCTACCTGGGGTTCCAGTATCAGCCTAACTGCACTCACTTCCACCTAAACATCACCCTTCCGAAGGATAAGGTGTGGCAAAAAGGTAAAACCCAATCAGCTGTCAGAAACTTGCTTTGATCTTGTTTTGCCTAGGATGGAGTGCAGTGGCACCATCATTGTTCACTGCAGCCTCAAAATGTCAAGCTCGAGGGATCCTCCTGCCTTAGCCTCTTGAGTAGCTGGGACTACAAGTGCACACCACCACGTCTGGCTAACTTTTTTCTTTTAATTTTGTAGGCTGGGCGCGGTGGCTCACACCTGTAATCCCAGCACTTTGGGAGGCTGAGGCGGGTAGATCACGAGGTCAGGAGATCAAGACCCTCCTATCCTGGCTAACACGGTGAAATCCCGTCTTTACTAAAAATGCAAAAAAATTAGCCAGGCGTGGTGGCAGGCGCCTGTAGTCCTAGCTACTTGGGAGGCTGAGGCAGGAGAATGGCATGAACCCGGGAGGCATTGCTTGCAGGCTGAGATCCGGCCACTGCACTCCAGCCTGGGTGACAGAGCGAGACTTCGTCTCAAACTCAAAAAAAAAAAAAAAAAAATTTGTAGAGAAAGGGTCTTGCCATATTGCCCAGGCTGGTCTTGAACTCCTGGCCTCAAATATTCTTTGTCTCAGCCTCCCAATGTGCTGGGATTACAGGCATGAGCTACTGTACCTGGCCACATTTTTTTCTTTTTTAAAAAAATTTTTATTTTCAGATAATTGTAGATTCGCATGCAGTTACAAGAAATAACAGAGGCAGGCCAAGCACAGTGGCTCACACCTATAATTCCAGCACTTTGGGAGGCCAAGGCAAGTGGATCACCTGAGGTCAGGAGTTTGAGACCATCCTGGCCAACATGGTGAAACCCCATCTCTACTAAAAATACAAAAAATTAGCTGGGTGGGCATGGTCGTGGGCACCTTTAATCCCAGCTACTTGGGAGGCAGACGCAGAGTTGCTTAAACCTGAGAGGTGGAGGTTGCAGTGAGCAGAGATCAGACTATTGCACTCCAGCCTGGGTTGCAGAGCAAGACTTGGTCTCCAAAAAATAGAGAGACAGCCTAGGCACTCAGTGGCTCCTGCCTGTAATCACACTGTAATCCTAGCACTTTGGGAGGCTGAGGTGGGTGGATCACCTGAGGTCAGGAGTTTGAGACTAGGCTGACCAACATGGTGAAACCTCACCTCTACTAAAACTACAAAAATTAGCTGGTCATGGTGGTGGGCATCTGTAATCCCAGCTACTCGGGAGGCTGAGGCACAAGAATCGCTTGAACCCGGGAGGCAGAGGTTGCAGTGAGCTGAGATCGCACCACTGCACTCCAGCTTGGGTGACAGAGACTCTACCTCAAAAAAAAAAAAAAAAAAAGAACAGAGACAGCTTGTATACCTCTCATCCAGTTTCTCTGAATGGCAGTATCTTGCATAACTATAGTATATCACAACCAGAAAATAACATTAATACAATCACTGATTTTATTCCGATTTCACCAGGTTTACAAGCACATTTCTGTATGTGTGTGTATTGAGTTCTGTGTGATTTTGCCACATGTGTAGACACATGTGACAATGAAATGCATTTTTTAAAAGATTATGGGATGGATAAGGATATGTACGTGAGGAAGCAGATTTAGTAAGACGTTAATTGTAGAATCTAGTTAATGGTTATATGGTTATTCCCTGTAAAATTCTTTCTGTATTGTTGAAGATTTTCATAACAAAATGTTGAGACCCACAGCAGAAGTAGCGTTCACAGCACCATGGGTTACATGTACTTCACATTTATATATTACAGATGACTATATATGAAATATGTTGTATGTATTTCAACTTTATTTCTAATCTAAGATTTGAGGAAGATGGTCCTGATGATATCTCAGTAAGTCTTTGTATAACACCAGAATGACTGTATTGTAGTTTAGAAAAGTTAAGAATTTCTGAGACATAACATTAAAGTTAAAAATGTCTAGCCTGGTGTAGTGGCTCACCCCTGTAATGCCAGCACTTTGAGAGGCCACGGCAGGAGGATCTCTTAAGTCCAGGAGTTTAAGACTAGCCTGGGCAACATAGCGAGACTCTGTCTCTATCAAAAAAAAAAAAAAAATTTAGTCGGGTATGGTGGCGTGCATCTGTAGTCCTAGCTACTTGGGAGGTTGAGGCAAGAGGATCGCTGGAGCCAAGGAATTCAAACCTGCAGTGAGTTTTGACGATACGACCGCACTCCAGCCTGGGTGACAGAGCAAGGCACTGTCTCTAAAAACTAAAAGTTCCTGATAGATAGAAATAGCGCCCAGATACACTGGATCAAAAACATGTTCTGTGGGTATCGACTTTAGACATTTTACCGAAAAGTCTTAAGAGCTACACTTCTGTATTTGTTTTTACGTTGGGAAAAATCTGAATGGAGAAAGCACGCGACAGTCTCCCGTCATAACCACCTTCCATATTGAGAGAACTTGATCTGGCTCTCCCATGAGCCCTGCTCACACAGGAACAATCACTTTTAAGTTCTTGCTAATTTTAGGCAAAGTCCCTGAGGCAGCCATGCTCACTACCGGGCTGCCCACTACAGAGTTTGCGTGAATTACCAACGGGCCCTTTCCCAATTCCAGAGGGGTACTCAGTTTTGTTTTTGTTTGTTTTGAGACGGAGTCTCACTCTGTCGCCCGGGCTGGAGTGCAGTGGCGCATTGCCGGCTCACTGCAGCCTCCGCCTCCTGGGTTCAAGCAATTCCCATCCCTCAGCCTCCCAAGCAGTTGGGACTGCAGGCACGTGCACCACCGTGCCTGGCAAATTTTTTGTATTTTCAGTAGAGACAGGGTTTTGCCATGTTGGCCAAGCTAGGTCTCGAACTCCTGGGCTCAAATAATCCTCCTGCCTTAACCTCCCAAAGTGCTTGGATTATAGGCATGAGCCACTGTGCCTGGCCATGCACTCAGTTTCTCTTGCTGATCTTGGCAATGATGTCATTGAGAGCTGGAAGGGACCTTCGAGAGCCTTTGTTTGACAGACAGGACTGTTTGAAAGATGAGAAAGCTTGAGGCCCAGAGAGACTCGGTGACTCGCCTTAGCCCCTACCAGGCCCGACCTCAGGTCCCTGGCGTGCAGTCCTGGGCTTTGTTCCTGAAGCCACCCTGTTCCTATCTTTGCTTCACCCTGGGGTTTCATTCGTTACCTTAGTCTTCTATCTGCTAACTTAGGTGTGTGATCATTTCATTTTTCTAAACCTCATAATGCATTCTAAATCGTTAGGCCTAAATGTTCACATGCCAAAATAATATAATTCTTTTTTTGAAACAAAGTCTCACTCTGTTGCCCAGGCTAGAGTATAGTGCTGTGATTTCAGCTCACTGCAACTCCCACCTCCCAGGTTCAAGCAATTTTCCTGCCTCAGCCTCCTGAGTAGCTGGGATTACAGGCTCACATCACCACACCCCACTAATTTTTGTGTTTTTAGTAGAGATGGGGTTTCACCATGTTCACCAGGCTGGTCTTGAACTTCTGACCTCAAGTGATCTGCCTGCCTTGGCTTCCCAAAGTGCTGGGATTATAGGCATGAGCCACCATACCCAGCCAAAAGAAAATAGTTCTTTACTGGAATGGCAGTAATCCAGAGCCGGGGATTGTATCACTGGTCATTTTCTTTCCAATCATTTGTGACTCTAGGTTTATCATGATCTCATCCGCAAAATATTAATAGATGCTTTAGAAGAGAGGTTCTAATGGTGTTTTTGTTCTGTTTGATCTACAAGTAAGCACTCTTCTTTGTTCTAAGATGAGGAGTACACGTGGGTGCTGACTCCTGAGCATCTACAGCACGGGACTGGCACCTACTGTATAAGAGCTGTGCTGAGTGAGAGCCAGAAGGGTGCTCAGCAGACGCCCAGCTTGGTCTCGGTCATCACGGCCGTCACTCAGTGTTATTACTGGGAGAGCCACAACCAGACATGGAGCAGCAGCGGATGCCAAGTAAGAAACTGAGCCGCTTCTTGGGTCTCTCTCCTGCCGTCGCCGCTGTTAAACCCAATGCATCTCATTTGGGGCAGCCCAGAAAGAAAAATAGGAGGTTTCAAATAACTCTGCCTTGGCCAAAGGAGGAGGAGGATTGTGTGTGGTGGGCAGGGCGAGTGTGGCTCTTCCAAGCAGGGGCAGCTTTGTGTTTTATCTTTGTAATTTCTTTCTCAAACACAGTCCAGGGTGGATCTGACAGTTGTGGATAAAATAAAACAGCATGTGGAAGCCATAAAATTCTATAAGTATTAAATATGTTGTGGGTGGGTAAAATGAAACCTCCTGCTAAACAAAAGAGAACTTTCGTAGCTCAAGAAATACGTTCTCAGATTCTTGTACATTCCAGGCCAGGTGAGGACAGGTTGTCACTTTTGTAATGATCACCTTGTTCCTGGTGTCCAACTGCTTTAAACCAGCACTATTACGTTTGTACACTCGTGAGATCCTGCCTGATGAAAGTCCTGGTTCGGTTGCTAAAATAATGTGATACAAGGTCTTGCAGATCATGAAGTTGTTCTAGAAAGAGCTGAGAAAGTACCATCTAGATTGGGAAGAGAAGGAAAGAGAGTTGGTTTTGTTTTTTTTTTTGAGATGGGATCTCATTCTGTCCCTCAGGCTGGAGTGCAGGGACGTGATCACGGCTTACTGCAGCCTCAACCTCCTGGGGTCAAAAGATCCTCCTGCCTCAGCCCCTCAAGTAGTGGAGACCACAGGCATTTGCCACTACGCCTGGCTAATGTTTTAGATTTTTGGACAGACAGGGTCTTGCCATGTTGCCCATGCTGGTCTTGAACTTCTGGGCTCAAGCAATCCTCCCACCTGCACTTTGGGAGGCCAGAAAGAGGATTATTATTATTATTATTATTATTATTACTACTATTATTTTAGATGGAGTTTTGCTCTTGTTGCCCAGGCTGGAGTGCGATGGCACGATCTCGGCTCACCACAACATCCACCCCGCTGGGCTCAAACAATTCTCCTGCCTCAGCCTCCCCAGTAGCTGGGATTACAGGCATGCACCACCATGCCCAGCTAATTATTGTATTTTTTTTATTATACTTTAAGTTCTAGGGTACATGTGCACAACGTGCAGATTTGTTACATATGTATACATGTGTCATGTTGGTGTGCTGCACCCATTAACTCGTCATTTACATTAGGTATATCTCCTAATGCTATCCCTCCCCACTCCCCCCTCCCCACAATAGGCCCTGG